CTTTTGATTTTTTTTAGCTATGGAATTTCTGAGACATTAGACAACTGTTTCTGTAATTGGCTCATAGCAGCTGTTAAGATCCTGAATAAATTTTTATCAACTCTGTTGTAATTGTTTTTTGCTCCCATCATAGAGTACAGAGATCTCATTGCTGAAAAAGAGCCCTACCTGCATTCTATTTATCATAGCTTTTACAGATACGCCTGACAGCAATGTAATTTCTCCTGGTTGTTATTTTATGATTATGCTGCAGTGTCACTAACAGGTAGGACTCACTCGTCTCCCAGTTTGTGAGCAGTTGGCAACCTTAGCCCATGACTGTGTGTGATCTCTGTGTGATTATGAATACTACCATTGGAAGGTGGGGGCTCTTTACTTCTATATAGGGTGGTTTCAGCCACTCAACACTCATGCTTTCTCTGCCTTGCATTTCTTAGAAGGAGGAAGAAAAATAGCAGGAGAAAGGAGGAAGGACATACTTGGTTGGCAGGTTGGGAAAATAGATCGTAATTATCTACTTTAGAAAGCCAGCTTATATATCAGAGAGAAAACTTCTATTGACCCTAAGATTCTGTCCCTTCAGCCATCTGAGGTGTTGCCCATGCTGCTAGTTGAGACAGTATTTTTTTCTAAAAATGCAGTGAAATATTAGTAGCTCCACCTGGTTGGAAATGTAAAACCACCTGCCGTAGGTATATGAGTAAACTCAGGATAACGGTTCATTTATCTACTTGTTTAGCTTTGCCAGTCTATAGCAGGGCTTGCTACAATCCTGATTCTCCTGTCGTAAAGCAAGCAACTCCAGACCAATAGACTGGAAAACAATGCTAGGGTTCTACAGAATCACACAGCCATCCAAACCACAGTTAGACTAAGATAGAATTCCATGTCATGACCATGGTGAGTTTAAAATGTCTAGAAGATAGATGAAAAATGGACCAAAAAATGTCATCACTTCTTAAGATTCTCCATTCCCAGACATTTTTCCAAGAAAGTGAGGGCAGGTCCCCTAAATGAATGACTGGTATTCCTGCCTTCTGTTACAAATCACTCCTTTAATACCTTCAAAGTCTGTGTATCTTCCATTTTCCATCTCCTTTAGATGAGACCACACTCACAGGCGAGGTTTTAGAGTTTTATGAACAACAAGACAGGATATTGTCATGTGCATCTCAGTTTTTCTGAGACAGACACGAGGTCTTCCACAAGCCCCAACATAGACACCAACCATAGTTGTCACCTAGACATGTGCCTTATGCTTTCTTGGAATACAGACAGGTGTTGACATTTTTCTGAAAACCTTAGCCTCTTGAGGATGTGGAGGGGGGAATATGAGCTGAATTTGAATCATGCTTTGTTCTAGGGTAGAAGTAGCTCATGACAGTCCCAACCAGATGATGCCTGAGATGTTGAAAGAAAAGAATGAGAATTCTGCCCTCACTGTAAGTCCTGGTTTCTGAATAGGTTCATCATACTGGGTTCTAAAGCAGAGGACTGATTCTTTCTAAGCTGAACAGTAGACCCTTGCTATGATTCTGAGTCTGTAGAGTAGACATCCAGAGAAGCGAATGTCTTTGGAATGTAGTTTATTTACCGAGGCCTTCCTTTGTGTGTAATTTCATGTGATCAGTAAGAGTTGGGAGGCCTGTTCATGACTTAAAAGCATTTGAACTCTAGCTGGAAGGTGAAGGAAAAGCCTATTCCTCTAATACAGTGGTTCTCAACCTTCCTAATGCTGTGACCCCTTAATATAGTTCCTCATGTTGTGGCGACCCCCTCAATCAAAAATTATTTGCATTGCTGTTTCATAACTGTATTTTTGCTATTGTTATGAGTCATAATTAAGTATCTGAGATGCAGATGGTCTTAGGTGACCCTTGCAAAAGGGTTATGCCCCACAGGTTCAGAATCATTGCTCTAATACTATTAATTTATTAATGTATATATCTTTTCACCAGCTGCATTTGAAGTGTCTACTTTGTATCATTCTCCACTAGTCGTGGGTAGGGTACACAGAAGAAAATAAGACATGAATCTCAAAGACCTACAGACCATTAGAGGAAAGAGGAGACAAGATTACATGGAATCAGAGAAAAGTCCTGCACAACCTGTGATGTGAGAAGCATGGAGGAGGGTTGGGCTTTCTGTCCTCGAGCACCAGGCAAGAATTCTCAGAGAGAATGAGTGAGGAGATGAGCCCCAAAGACCAGATTCTGATGTGGCCACTGAGATGAAACCTATCTCAATTAAATGAGGAAATACCATTGGCTAAAAGTATGGCTTTGGAAGGAGAAGAAATCAGTGGGGTTTTGTCTATTAGGTGAGTGGTAGAATCCATCTTCAAATAATTTAGAAGGTAATTGCCATCTCTTCCCCCTCCCCCATTCTCCCTTATCCTCCTCCTACTTCTCCTTCTCTTCCTTTTCCTCCTCTCCCCCCACACTGGGATTTTATTCGTTTATTTTTAAGGTATTACATTTCCATACATATGGGTCATACTTTGTTCTAATTATTCTTATTGTCCTGCTGCTTTCTCCCGACTCTCTTACCCAGCTCTTGAATGTTATTTCTTTAGGAGTCTCCATTTATTTCGACACAGCTGCTTCTTTCTTTAGAATCCCAGCTTATGTCCAACACCATGACAATTTTATATAAATATTGATTTTTTTATAACAAGCTCAAGATCTTGGATCTTTTCATTAGCCTACACTGCTTCTCTTGGGCAGCAGAAAGCCTTCAACTATAAGGCACCGACAGATGAGCAGTGGCCATCTACAGAGCCTGTGTGGGCTTGCAGCTTCCCATACTCACACCAGGCATCACTTGAGGGTGAACAGCTCTTATCTTCTGCTCTGGCAGGCACCTGCTTGTCTTCAGACTTGCTAGCTTTCTCTGCAGCTGCATCCCACCAACTTCATCTTTCACTTGGTTATTTCCCCATATCAACTGAAACCACCAAACACCATGGTCCATAGGCCAGGAAGAATTTCTGTTTCTTGCCTGCTCAAGAGTCTTTCTGTCTGCCCTGGAAGAGAAAGTGTCTAAGACTATTGGGAAAGTAAAGTTCTATCACTCTCTATTCTCATGTCACCCCACATTTCTGCACCTTAAGCTGCTTTTGGAGGCAGCAAGCCTGGGCTAGTGGAAGTGGAGACTAGTTAGCTGCTAGCCCAAGGATGCATGTATGAGAGAGCTCTATCTTCCCCCTTGATGTTTCTTTGAGTTCTAATTGGAACTATGCTTAATGGGCCTCCTGATTCTCAAAGACAGAGTGGATATGCTTGCAGCTCATTTTCTCCATACAGTTTTAACTGAGTATGCCTTCAAACATATCACATAACTAAAAGACAGAATTAAGCAAGAATGGCAGAACTCTGGCAGCAAGTAGCCCCCTGCTCGTGTTTTTCATTGCAAAGCATATAGGATTACCTTATTGTTCCAGATATTAGCTTTGTGTATCCAGCATATGCATGTTTAAACAGCATAACAAATGTGCTACAGTACAAAGCACCTATATGTCACCAAGGCCCACAAAACTTGTGCTGTGCCAAGGCCTAGAGACATCTTCCCCAGTTTCCTTCCCTCCTTAGGGGCAGATCATCTGTTGCTTTGTGTGGGCCAGGCAGCCTGCGTTTAATAGCAAACATTCTCTAGCTTTTCAGACCCTGTGTGTAGAACGGCTCTTATTTGAATGTGGCATCTCCCCACAAAGAAGAAAAATCCCCAGCACCACCAGTGTGGCAAAACCCAGACATGTGGCTTGTAAGTCTTGCCTCAAAACAATAGCAAAGGACTGAGGCTCCAGACTACCCTGGATCACTCTGGAGAATATTATCAACTTCATGGTTCAGGGTTAAGGTTTGGGGCTGGGCTATTGTTAGTGTTTTCATCACTTGTAGAAATGTACAGCCTGACAGTCACCATGCCTGTAGATCAAAGGCGAAGGGGGAGTTATCTCCTGCCGGCTGTGCTATAACGCCAAGCACATTTCTGGTGGGCTGACCCCAAGGTGAGCTGAGGTGAGAAAGAGTCCTCCAGCAGATGGCTGTCTGGGTGTGATATCGGGGGTGGTGGTGGTGGGGGACGGTGTTCCAAGAGCAAAGACTCCATCCTTTCCTTTTGGAGTAGTGCTACTAAGCCTACCCTTTTTTGATTGTGTGGAAGTGCTGGAATCGAGAAAGAGCTATCAATCTTTCAATCCTGTCCGTGTCCGGGCTGGGTGAGGTTTCCTGGCCTGGGGGGGATGTGGGGGAGGGCACATGCCAATTTGTCTGGAAGGTTGCAGAAGCCAGTTTCTCTATACTGCCATCCTGTTAGCCATCTGGTCTCCTAGCTGACCTGAGCCTCTCATCCAATTCCTGCATAGAACATGACCTCTCCCTCTTCTGCTTGGCCATGATGCCTCATTGATGGGATCCTTTTTCATATTTTTTTGTTTGTTTATGACCCACTGAGCTTTCGTTCCCAAGGCTTAAGCGACATAGCATCCCTGCCTGCTGCAAGGAACATTTTTTTTGTCCCCTTGGGAAAATAATCTTCCCCTCTCTGTGTCCCCCTTTTGAACATGGTTCTTTCTTTTTGACTAATCCCTCAATTATTATATTTTGGTTTATGGAAATATACTTCTGTATGACAGCAGTTATCTTTTAGAAGAAAATGGAGAAATGATTGAGCAAAGAGAGACTAACAGTTCTTATAAAATGATACTACATCCTTGAATTCTGAATCTAATCTTTCTCAAGAACAATTCAGTATGGGTTGCCTATACAGTCCCTTAAAGTATTGTTTAGAGTATTAAATTACTCTGACACACTTGATCTTACATTATTTCCCACAAAATAAGTGGCAGGAACACACACACACACACACACACACACACACACACACACACGCACACTTTTTGTTAGATACTTTAAGTCAACGAATAATACGTTAGAAACTTTATGACACTTCCAAAGTGTGTTTTGTAGCTCACCATTACTGGCTACACTGTCCCTCCTTTCTAGCCCTCTCCCCCGAACTGAGATTCCTTTCTTCTACATGTTCCCTCCCTGTAGATGATTTCAGCTGAGCACTGGTCACCACGCAGTCTTTTTTCACTTCTTTTGTCGGTCTGTCACTGTGAGATGTGAGCACTTCAGTGGTAACTTTTTCCTCTGTCCTCCTGAAATATATAAGGACACTATTGGGGAGAGATGATTCAACACAAGAGAGGTGGGTGCATGTGTGTGAGAACAGGTAGAGAAGAGAAAGGAACCTTTCCCTGGGCACCTCTCAGGTACAAGAGAAGAAACATCTCCAGCTACTGTTCTTGTTTTCTGTATCCTGTCTATAGCCATCAGAGAGGAAATCTATTCTCATTAGCAATTCACTTCTTCCCCCATCTCTAGATGCACTGGTTGGGACTCAAGTCCTGTTAGCGTCAACCTTTGAAAGGCAGGAGATTTCCTTTGGGAAAATATTCTCTCAGCTCTCAAGACATAATAAGGGCAGATGTTCTCTGCAAACTTCTAATAGGTCATTTCCCCCTCTAGACTCTAGATAATACAGTCCCTGCTCTATCCTATATCCTCTGTGTTGTACCTGTCTCTCCATCTTGGTCTTGGCCTTGGCCTTTTGTTCTTTCTAGACTGAAATTCAGAGGATGAAATTGAGTTGGTCCAACAGTGATGACAGCTGTTTCAGAGTCCACCTGCATCAAACCTCAAGGAATACTTTCAGTCATCACACCCATGGTCAGAAAGAGGCAGACTAGTCCCTGGGGTTTGGGGTTGAGGAATACACAGGTTTCTATCAATGGGGAAACTGAGCAGAAGAAAAGGAAAGGTAAATATTCTTCCTTCATTGACTCCATCCATTCCAAGAAAAAGTGATTCTCTCAGTAACAATGTGAGAAAAATCCATTCATACCTGATGTGACACTGTAGTCATATTGATAACAAATTCTCTGATCTTTATACCTGTCTTTCTTCTGATATCCAGCTGACTTTTGCATTGGTTCTCTGAGGCAACATCATCTTTCACCCATCACAGTGGTAGACCCCCTTCATGTTCCCATCATGTTATGCACTGTCTCTTTGCATGCAGTGTCCTGGTTATCATTTACATGTGTTTTTCTCCTTCTGGCTTGCATAGCTCTTGAATACGGAAATCACACTCTATCCTTTTGTGTCTTTTGTATCTAGCCTAATGCCTAACAGAAATTAGAACTCTGAAAAATGGTAATTATTTTCCGGGTAACCAACTAAAAATAAAAGACCTAGATTTCCTCTGATCACGGAGAGAATCAAATCGGAGGCACGTTTTAATTCATTTGCTGTTTCACTGGGTGGTCTCGTTTGGGTTTAGCTTAATTGAGTCAAGAATGATGTTAACAGACCTTATGAGATTACAATTATCATCCAATATTTATAGTAATAATTACTACAATATGCTGCCCACAAATATATAACCATGCTATCACAGCTTTTCAATGTGTATAATCTCATTCATTCAAGGAATATATGAAGTTGTTCCATATACTAGGGAGCTATGGGAAATGTAGATTCGATAACTGTTATTGACTGAAGATGTTCTGGAGAGTATATAGAGACTTTCATTGATAATTTTTAAAAATATGTTTGTTTGTTTGTTTTTTTTACTGATAATCTCTTCTTTCACCAACTTTCATGAAAATACCCAATGGAGAAAGTGATTTTTTTTTAAAAGAAACTGAGTAGCCTTTACTAACACACTTGCTACCCAGAAACTGTTCCTCTCTCTTTGCTTGTATGAATTCATGGCTTATACTGTGAAATGAGTATCAGGCTTGCTACTTGTCCCATGACCGATGGAAAGGGTGATTTATTTTATTTTAACTTTTATGTCAGCAGCTTTTTTATTGTCTGGGAATGGTTTACATGTGAATAATGTGATTTGATTAAATACATTCCCCATTCTCCATTCCCTCTATTTCTGTGTCTCTCACATCGCCCACTTAATTTCCTTAGAGAGTTCATGTGCTCTTAAAACGCAACCCTAAGTCCACTCAGTGATGCCTGCCTGTGCATGAGTATGGGGTCATCTATTGGAGCACATGGAATCTTTCAAGGGCCACATCCCTGAAGAAAACTGACTCTCCCCCTCCCATCAGCTATCAATTGCTAAAAAATACTCCACAGCTAGGCATAGAACTTCATGAGTCTCTCCCCTGCCCATCTTAGGAATGTTCTATGTCTTGATCTTGTTCAGGTCTTCTGCATACAGTCACAGTCACTGTGAGTTCACGTATATAAAGTCCCTGTCACATCCAGCAAATACTGTTTTGCTGCAGATATCCACTCTGCTATATCTTATACTCTTTCTGTCCCCTCGTATGAGATTATCCCTGAATCTTAGGTTCCAAGGGAAGATGTGGTATAGATGTTCTGTTTAGAGTCAAGTACTCCTTAGTTTCTTGATCTCTGCATGTTGATCAGCTATTGATCTTTGTATTAATCACCATGTACTGTAAAAGAAGCTTCTCTAATGAGAGTTGGGGGATCCAATGGTCTGTGACTATAAAGATAAAAACTTAAGGGAGCAGTTTATTATAATGTCCACTTAACTGAGTAACAGTATTAAGTTCCCCCTTGTGAAATAGCCCACTGATGGTACTAGGCATGAGTTCCATCTTAGAGAGTGAACTTTAGGCAGAAACATGGTTAACATCATTTCACATTGTAATATTTAATACATTCATCCCACTATTGCATTGGTGGGCATATCTTGCCAGACAGGTCATTATTTTAGCTTTATATTTGGATGAGAAGATGATGACCTTTCTCTCCGGGAGTACCATAGCAACTTCCAGCACTATAGAAACTAGCTAGTATGGATGAAGCTTCCTAGTCTGGATCAGCTTGGTTTAAATTATGTCCTATGCCTTAAATTTGTTAAACAGTAAGGTCTTGTCATCAAGTTCTAGAGGGTAGTCAAGAGTAATAGCAGCAGTTTTTTTAATGTTCAGAGACAAAATAATAGCAGCAGATTTTAGTGTTTAGGGAAAGAACCTATGGAAATACCACACTTACCAACAACTCCAAGAAGAGGTAACCATATCTGACACTGGGCTTCTTTCCTTTCCTTTCCTTTTCTTTTTCTTTCCTTCCCCTCACCCCTCCTCTTCCCTTTCCCCCTCCCCCTCGACTCCCCCTTCCCCCTCTCCCTCCCTTCTTTCCTCCCCCTTCTTTCCCCCTCCCTCCCCCTTCCCTTTCCCTTCTCCTCCCTTACTTCCCCTTTCCCCTCCCTCTTCCCTCCTCCTTCCCCTTCCTTCCCCCTCCCTCCCCCTTCTCCTCCCCTTCCTCTCCCTTCCCCCCTCCCCTTCCCCTCCCCTTTCCCTTCCTCTTCCTTACCTTCTTCTCCTTCTTCCTTCCTTCCTTTTTTCCTTCCTTCTCCTCTCTGTCTTTCTTCCTCTCTCCCCCTCCTCTCTCCACTCCCAAATAGTCTACTCAAATTCTTTTGATTTTATTTATGTACACATGTGTATCTGTGACGTTTCTATAGCATGGTTCTATATGGCATTTTAAAAAGTCCTTATTTCATTGTCCTTCTCTTTATTCCATAATCTACATTGGTCCCCAGTTCCCCAACCCATTTAACTCTTCCTGTTCCATTACTCTCTTTTCCATATTTATACTACCTGCATTCTATTCCCTTCTCTTGAAATTCTCTTGCAGTCCTTTAGTAGTTTCTTGGCTTCTATGGGTACTCCAACATAAACACACATATCTAAACAGTCAATGCTAGTATCAGCATATGAAAGAAAATGTGTTGTTTGTCTTCCTGGATCTTCATTATTGCTCAAATAATTATTTTTAGCTCCATCCATTTACTTGCAAGTTTCACTTCCTTTTACAGTTGAGTAACATTCCATTGTGTATGTGCAGTAAATATTTCTTGTCTATTCATTGGGGGTGAATATCTAAGCTATTTCCATTTCCTGGCTAATTCAAGGGTGGTAGTGAACATGGATAGACAAGTTTTCTTCACAGCAGGACATAGGGTTCTTTGGGCACATGCCCAGGAATGGTATAACTAAGTAACATGTTCACTTTACTTCTAGCTTTTTGAGTAATCTCCACACTGATTTCCATACTGGCTGTTCCAGTTTGTGCTCCTACCACCCGTAAATAAGTGTTCTTCTTTCCCTACATCCATGCTAGCATTTGTGGTTATTATTATTATTTTTTGTATTAGCCATTCTGAAAGGGAAAAGATAAAAGTCAAAATAATTTCAATGTGCACTTCGCTGCTGGCTAAGGCTGCTGAACATTCAAAACACTTTTCTTAGTTATTTGTATTTCTTCTTTTAATAGCGCTCTTCAGTACCAGGCACCAATATTTAATTGGGTTGTTTGTTTTCTTAACGTTTGCTTTAAAAAAAATTCTTTGTTTATTCTAGATCCTAAACCAAATAGAGAGGTTTGTATCCAGGGTTCAGAGAACAATTGTAAGAACCCAAACTGATTCTACCCCCTGCTTAGTTCCCTAAAATGAAATAAATATTTTCCACCTGTAATCCAGAGGTATAACTTTCTGCAATGAAGAATTCTCAAATGAGTGACGGAAGTGAGGACAGAGCTCTCTGCCTCAGAGGTTTCCAGCTAGACAGCTGAGCTCTGAACTACCTATATTGTGACAATGAATTCATCTCAGGCACTGAAGTGGCAGCCGAGACATGGGGATGCGCGGAGCATTTCCTTTCCCCATGAAAAGCTGCAAGGGTCTGTGGGACTCCACCTTCACCTTCTGAGTGTTCTTCCCATCACAGTTCTGTTGTCAGGGTTTCACACTATGATGTAATGCAGCACAGCTTGTCCAAAACAATATTAGATTTATTCCATTTGTTAAAAAGGAAGATAACGCTAGTATGTGGCCCTTCTGGCAGCGCCTCAAGTCTTTCATACTAGGCATGGCTTCAATCACCTGTTGCTAAGATACTGTAAAAAATATTATCTGTTTTTTAAATGTTTCCTTTTAATTGAATAAACTGTTGCTTTGAAATATCAGTGCAAAGGTTAAAGAGGTCTTTGAAATTGCATATATAAATTTTGTTAATTGGCAGAGCTATCTCTGTGGACTGTACACTCAGCAGCTGCTGTCTTCATGGAATCCCTGGCAGAGCTTTGGAGGATGCAGCTTTGAGCTGTGCAGCACAACTGATGGAAATAGCTGATGAACTACTACTTGTTAAAAGGGGTCACTGATTTTAGAGTACTACAGCCATAAGGGTTGACATAAATACGGGACAATGATCCCGATTAGCAATGTAGTGCCAGAGGGACACACAAGACATGCTGTCTCAGCACCTTACGAGCCAAGATATTAATATTTCTGTGACAATATGCTCAAGTATCCCCATTAAGATTTCACATCAATTCAGGTCCCATTCTACAGCCAACCTGACTTTCTCAAACCTGTGGAGAGATTTGGGTTTTATGATCATTTTTTGGCTTTCTGGCATTGCAACTGTGGACCAATAAAAGATAGAATAACCTCAACTTGTCTGTCATTTCAAGATTAGTGTAGAAACTAATGAATGCCTCCTACAGTAGCAACGTTGGGCATGTGATGCATCTAAGTGGGTTGAGAAAGGTTCATGGAACAGATTAAATACTCATTCTAGTAAAGACCAGGCATAATCAGCATTGACTAACAGGTTCCTGAATATAGACAAGCCTCAAAAGGACAGATAAGAATGAAGAGACACTACAGAGCCTCACACGGTTCTTAAATCCAGGCACATCTCGTCCTCTGCACTGTCATTTTATTAGCCCAGCTCACTAAAACTCCACACACTGGTTTCCTTACTTCATTCCCATCCTGCTACCCAATTATCAATCTTTTTTTTCATTCTCTCTGCTGTGGAATTCTAGAATGTGAACCTGACTTTTAAAATCACCATTACATTTCAACAGAGAGGATTGTGGAGGAGTTGAATTAGTGGAAGGTATATGATCACAATGTATTGTATATGAATCAAAAAGAAAAAATTTTAAAGAATTCAGAAACATTTCAAGAGTTTCTTATTTCCCACATTATCAGTCACTGAATAATGGACTGATAATGTGGGAAATCCCTATAGTGTTCACATTATTGTCCACCCTCACTTCCCGTACCAGACAGCATCACAGGCCTCCCTGAGTCATAGTGACAAGCCTCTCTTCTGGAGATATTAGCCTCCTACAGTTTCTACCTGTTCTACAGGACTTGCCATCAGACCTCCAACTTATACAACAACATTGCCTGTTTGTGAATTTTCTCTCCTTGTCTATTTATACACTTCCAAATGTCAAAAGCCACCTCTCAGTATTTAGAATTGTAGTTAGTCCATAATTTAGGTTCCATATACAGAGTCCAAACAGTCAGAAAACATGAAGAAGCAGTGCTCAGAAAATTCACTAAGAGTTCTCAGCCTAGAAGCAACAATAGTCACAAACTAAAAAAATGAGCATCCTCTTTTGGAAGTTCTAGATGTATTACAATATAATGGATGCAGAGACTTAAGCTATCTGGATGCCAAAACTATAAACTGCCATTTTTATCTCTAAGGATATGCCAAGGAGATGCAGAGATGTTTTAACCAAAGGAAAGGGATTCCCTTGTGGTGAAGTTGGGTGGGAGGGAGATGGCTTTAAGATCATACTTTTGGTCCTGTGTGTCTGGTAAAAGAAAGTATGGAATGAATGATGTTAACTCCCCTTCATGGACTGAAGAGAGATATATAAGGTAAATTGACTTGCCATGATCTTTTAAATGTGATGGTGTTGTAGATGTATCAGTTGAGACTGGGCACCACGTGATCTCTTGTTCTCTGCATTTTGATCGGTTGTGGTTTCTGTAATGGTCTCCATCTGTTGCAAAGAGAAGTTTCTTTGATGAGGGGTGAGAACTACATTTATCTGTGGGTATAAGGATAAATATTTAGAATGTAGTTAGGAATTATACTGGTTTAGTCAAGTGGTGGTTGTGGGTTCACCTCCAAGATCCACGACTTCAGTAGCCCTGAGTAGAGAGAGAAGGAGAGAGAGAGGAAGAGGGAGGGAGGGAGGGAGGGAGGGAGGGAGGGAGAGAGAGAGAGAGAGAGAGAGAGAGAGAGAGAGAGAGAGAGAGAGAGAGAGAGAGAGAGAGAGCGCAAGAAAACTGCATGGAAAGGGTTGGAA